GGTCTCGAATCGGTGGAGGATTCTTGGGAGCCATTGAAGACAATAAGTGAGGACGTGCCACAACTGCTGTCAGCCTATGCAAGTGCTTCAAATGATGATAATTTCCAGAATGCCGTGACCGTGGCAATCGATTCCAAGCGACGCCATCGCTCTAACTGACGTACAGGCTTCTCTATGACAATTTCCTTTCAAATATGATCATCACTTTGAACGAGATTTTGGAATTTCTGCGTTTAACCGGGGATTTTGACGCCATCGTCAATGGAACAGGTGGGCATGCAAGTGCTCAACATGTGTACAAGGATTGAATACAATTGAAGCTGATCCTACAATGTACGGTGTTATCGAAACTTTTCTGGAGTATGATTGGCTATAGTTCGAATTGGAGTATTTTCACTGGTTGATATTGGATTGTTGCAAATCATGGGGATGGCAACATGTAACACTGCAACACGTTGAAGTTGATGGCCTGTCTATGTCCATATGTGACGAGGCCGTATCGACTAGACAATGCCCACGCAAACTATTAATATGGACGTTGGAAAGCTTGGGGGGCAGTGTGATGATGGCACCGTTACATCTTCAACAGCTTACCAACTTGCACGCAGCCTTCATGGGTTGGAATAGACTCTGCCCCACCATATTTGCGCCTATCCCGAATAGCATCATGATGCCAAGGACTCAATGCCATTAAGAAAGCCATACAAGGAATCTGCAACCCATACTGATGACGCCTGATTACTCCATGAGAACAATGAACGGGGACAGCTTCACCTGGACTGTCATAGATGGCAGGAGGAAGCTGGCCAGAGTAGATAGCTCACTTTTAAACTTACCTTCTGATCAACAATACACGTTGGTTTTGGCCGGGAGTTCCAGCTCCCAATTGCTGTTGTTTAACACACCACACACGCAGATGCTGCAGCGGGCGTAGTATATGCGACGAGAAACAGCCTTGCCTGAGTAAGCTACGATGGTTTTCGGGTCCTGTCGTTTTAAAAGAGCTCTTGAATCCTAAACAATAAAATTAAAGTCCGTATATCTGTCCGTTTCGTCTGGATTTCTGATTGAATGCATAACATCACTTATCACTTAACATCAGTATCGAGGCAATTATGATTGAATTCAGGAGGAGATAAGTACGACATTCTAAAAAATGGTACTAGTAACTATTACTACATCAGATACAAGCCGGTGCGAGTGGGCTGTTCCTCAAAGCGGCGCAGCGATCTCGCTAGTTTGTTTAACTATTTAAAAAACAATGTTTAGAATTAGCTTGTAATGCCTGGGGTGTGATTTTATGCCCATTACACCGCGAATACTGGCGTGCATATGATGCGTTGAGGCTATCTCTGTATTCTTACATTAAGATGGCAACTGCTGATATTGCCAATATCCTTGCCGGGCAATTGGCAATGGAAATCGGCGTTTTTCCATAATTATTCGCTCTAGAATTGACTTGTGAATACCGCGAGATAAGGAGCAATATAATCTCGTTCTCCCAAAAAGGGACTAAGAAATGATTTATTATAACACTTTAAAGTTAAAATCCAGAGCTGTTGCCGGCGAAAGCACGGCACTGTTGAGTTTTTTTTTTTAAAGAAAAATTGAATTATAATGCAATTGTTGGTTATCATGTTAGAAATATCAGTGATTTTGCCTGCGTGAAATAGTAAGCCTTAAAATATCGACACAAAAAATAACTATTTTAAAAGGTCATTCATTAGAAATTTGTATGCACAAAAATCAAGGCGTCCACACCAAGGAGGTTCCGAATTAATCCCAATTGGGCTGTCCCTACTACTTACGTAGTACTGACAGGGAAATCAGTCTGTTATTGGTTTATCTTGCGGAGTACGTTTAGATTGCAATCATTTCTTGTAAAGGTTTAGCACATCCTCGATCTCCGAGGCCAGTTTTTCTGTGTTTGGATTGCTCTTTGCCGTTTTGATCATCTGTGACAGATCATTCTCGTCGTAGTATTTCAAAAGCATCTTGGGCATGTGATCGCGGAAATATCTTTCGTCAAACATAATCATGTACCGAATCCACGTGTCCAACCAAGGACCGGTGAATAGTGATGATCCTGCTCGGTCAAGGTTGAGGATCGTGAAGATTTCGTCCGTCGTCTTATAAGAGACGTCATGCCAGGTTTTAAACAGCTCGAACTCCACGCTTTTAGCAATCTCCTTCGTTTTTGAGATTTTCGAGGCTGATGTGATCATATTTACCAACGATTTGTCATCGTAGTGGTTGCGTAATGTCGTCATCATGGTTTTACGCGAATTACGCAGCTCGTCGTAGAAGTCATCGAGGTAGTGAATCCATTTGGCGAATTCAGGGCTTATCAGTAAGTTGTGTCCCTTATCGGTGAGTCCCATCATAGCGAAAAACTGTTCTGGAGCTTTGTCAGCCACAGGTCTCAAGTCGTCGGGGTCTATACCCGTAGCCGCCAACATCCTCCTTATCGTCGTTTCCTTGCCGTAATTATCCCGATTAAAAGCAATTAAATATTTTCCCCACGTGGTCACCAGCGGATTTCTAAAGAGCTTATTTCCATCTTGGTCAAGACGGAGCACCTTGGCAAAGATGTACTCCGGAGTCCAGTTTAGTTGTATCCAGCGCTGGAATAACTCGCTCTGTAGTTTCTTGGCAGCACTCGCCGTATCTTTCACCTTCATCGCTTCATCGAGCATTTTTACCAGTTTCATTTCTCCATAATTCGCCGCCAATGTCCCAATCAGTGTGGCCTGATATTTAGGGTTCGCTGCGTTGTACTCCTTCACGTAGTTGAGCCAGGTCTTGAGTTGCGGGTTGCTCAGCACATCTTTTCCCACCTTATCGAGTTTGAGTTGCTTGAAATAGTCGTTGGGCGTTCCTTTCGCCATCCACTTCTGCTCTGTCTCCAGTTGCTGTACCAGTTTCGCCCAGCTGGGGTTATTCTTCGCCGATTGCAGCAGTTTTACCAACCCTTCACTGTCGTACTGCTTAGCCAAAACCGACATTAAAGTCGTTTTCTTGTCGGGATGTACCTTGTTAAGATCTTCCACGTATTTCACCCACTTCATGAACTGTGGGTGATCAAACAGTTTTTCACCTGCCTTGTCCAGCGATAAGAGCTTGTAGACATCTCCAGGCAGCTTCCGACTATATATCCAACTCTGAAGCTGCTCTTCGTGGAGTTTAGTAGCGATATTTGCTTCACTTGGAGTCTGCATTGCTTTAATTAGCAGACGTGTCAACGCTTCGTCGCCGTAGTAACTCGTCATGATCGAAACTCTCGGATTCCGAGGATTTCTCGAGTAGAAATCGTCCACATAGGTTAGCCATGTTGCAAACTGTGAGTTTTCTAACAGTTTATCACCTGCCCTGTTGAGTTCCAGGAGCTTGAACATGGTTTTAGGGAGCGTTTTAGTGTCCGTCCAATGCTGGATTAGCTCTCCGTCTAGTTTATTGGCGATATTTGCTGTCCTTGGTACCTGCTTCGCCTCACGCAGGAGCTTTGAGAGTGCTTCATCGCCGTAGGAACTCGCCACGACCGAAATTCTCGATATCGGTGGATTTTTCGTATTGAAATCGTCCACGTACGTTAGCCAAGTTGCAAACTGCGGGTTTTCGAGAAGTTGTTCACCTGCCTTATTGAGTGTCAGGAACTTGAAAACATCTTTAGGAGACGTTGCAGTATCCAGCCAACGCTGGATTTGCTCACCGTGCAGTTTATCCGCGATACTCGCAGTACCGGGAGTTTGCTTTGCCTTAAGCAAAGCCTTCGACACCGCTTCATCGCCGAAGCGACGCGTTAACATCGGAATGGCTTTTTCCGATTGCTTTGGGAATTTCGTCTCGAAATCAGCCACATAACTTAGCCAAGCGGAGACTTGAGGATTGTCAACCAAATTGCCACCCGCCTTGTTCAGCTCCAGCAGCTTGAAGACTTTCGCTGGTGCCTTTTTGTTATCCAGCCAGTACTGAAGTTGCCTGTTCTGCAGATCGGCAGCTAAATCCTGGGTTTTTGGGTTCTTCTGTGCGGCGATGATCATTTGTGACAAGCGTTCGTCGCCGTAGTAAGACGTTAACTTTGAGATCGTCGAGATTCCACTTCCAGGATGCTGCTTGGTTAAATCATCGACGTACTTGACCCACGTACCAAATTTCCGCTTGTTGAATAATTCACCCTTTCCGCGGCCCAGACTCAGCCAAACGAACACATCGTCTGCTTTTTCCCTTCCATTTAGCCAACCGCGCAGTGTTTTCTCCGAGATTGTCGACGGCATGAACTTGCTCTTAATATTCCCAATTGTGGAGACCGGAATTCCTCGCTCTTCATGCGACCGTAGCAGTCTGGATGAGGAGAAATCGTTCACCTCGTCTGCAATAGGCTGAAACACTGTTGGGAGATCAGATGTCAGGGAGGCACTGACACAGGCGAGGAATGTCGTGACTACTAGTAGAAGAGCATAGCCCAGATGCATGGCTGTGGAAGTTTTCTTTCTGTAGCAACTTGTTGTATCCCCGACAATGGTAAATTCGAAACTGTGACATTCATACTGAAAATATGTTCTAGTGTTTGTGTACCGTCAATAAGCGACACCAATGATTTGACAACAGGGCAAAGCAGCAGATGCTGGCGGAAACATTGTGCATGTATGCCTACTGCCTTTCGCAGTTTCTTCCGATTTGTTGTTTTTGCGAAGTACTGCATCCGTTTGAAGGCAGTGGGTCGATGAAATAATACTTTGAGGCCGTAAACAGCTCCCACCTATCTAGAGAGCTCATCCCAGCTGGGGCAGATTCTGATCGATATTTGGAGAAAAGGAGAATGTTGCCTAGTATTACCTTAAGTATTTGTCGTTTGGAAACTTGTAGTCTCTGCCAAGTAACCCTACAACGGAAACAAATATTTTGGAGATAAAACTGTACTACAGACGCCGTAATGCTTACTGTTAAATGACAGCGGTAAACTCCTACTGGTTTTCTATTGTGAGTTCTACTCAAAATTGTCATGGGCGGTTCTTTGAATGAATCTCCCCCAAATCGCCCAGCGTTTACAATTCCGTATACTGACCCGTTTAAGTACGAAATAAGGTGTCAAGAAAAGACTTGGTGGGTTCTACTAATGACTTGGGGGCGATTGTCCTTCCGCTCCTCAAACAGACCCAAATCGGCATATTTGGACGGAATTCCCAATAATAGACTCCATTACGAAGGATAATGTTATTAATAGGGCTTTTTACATTTTAGAGTAGTTCATCGATGTACAACCTGACTCACTACAGGATTGCGGATGCTTCCTTAAAACCGTATCACTAAGTGACCTTCACTTGCCGTTACGAAATATATTGTATTGAGTAGTTTTGCGAGATCATCAAATCTTTGTCGATGTGAACAATTTCATGGAGAACAACACGGTTCTTGGGAACCGGCTTCCAGACGTCTCAACGAGCATAGCCACTGCAGAGAAAAGACGAAGGTGACCAGCACGCTCCAACTAATAGCTGTAGTGGGAGGGAAGGAACTGGGAGGCAAGGACGCCACCACCTCCCAGGAGGACCGCTCCATCGGTAGGACGGATGGCTTGGCCCACCGCCGTTAGGTCGGACCTCGAGTAGTATCAAGATCCGCTTCTGGGGCGGACTCCCCTACGATAGAGCAAGGATGGACACGGAGGATGACTCTTCACCGCAGGCGCGAAAGGAGGGCGCAAGTACGGTGTGTTCACAAGGTGACCCGCAGCAAGAGAGCGACACTCGGTGTCCAAGGCAACACCAGTTGAGTCGGCTCTTGCATAGTTTCCTCCCAGGGACTCGGTGGTTGGTGTTTAGGCTTGCAAGAGCGAAACCCGGACCTTCGAAGTGAACTCCATGGTGGCCGTGACGCCCGCTGAGAATCAAAGCGGTGGCAAGTCCGGTGCTGGAGCTGCCTCGAATGCCAGACTCCCCAGACTTGGTCAACGGTTCCACGATACCCACCTCGTTGTGCCCCGTTGATGGTCAAAGGTTGGAGCCAACGGGCTGCGGCACGAACAACACCGTTCTCCATTGTTAGAGGAAGGAAGTAGTAACACAGAAAATATAACCGTTTTGCTTACACTAGGCAGCTACGTAGGACAAGAGTGTTAATATACTTCTTCTCTCTTGTAAGGGACCTCGTGCATCATCAAGCCCCGTCAACATTGACACTGCGTAATCGGCCGCATCAACATCGTCCATCGTAATCTACTGCTATGGCAAGCGGGGCTGCACAAGCAAACGGGATGACCCTGCGATCGTGCGCATGTTCCAATGTTGAAGGACTAGGAAATTGAGGGTCCCATTGTCAATAAACTACTTTCGCTACTTTCAAGCTCGCAAAAGCTATAACGCTTCATTCTACCCGAATATGACTCAGTAATCCGGAAAAAAAATAATAAGGCGAAAAATATATTGCATATAAAATACCCAAATATTTATTTTGTTTGTAAAAAAATTCGTTGGTTTTGTCAATACTTTAATATGGTATTTGGTCAAAGGCCACTACTACAACCCCACACTTTTAGCACATCTGAAGTAGGCCTCAGTTTTCCATTTGACTAGTACTCATTATACCATTCAAACTTACGTCGTTAAGATGTTTGATCAATCGTGTGGTTGGGTACGTAAATGAAACTATTCGGATGGTGGACTGACACTGAGATCTTGCTAGCCTGCTCTCGTTTCCTCAAAATCTAATTTCCTACACTCTACTGTAGCTACTCTACCCCAGCCCTATCATGATGTCGTTCAACAACAAGACCTCCCCCCCCCCCCCACCCCAACACCCCCACCACTAGTAAGGTGCTATATACCCTCATGTTCACCAAGAAGTCGAAAGTGGACTCCTGTGCTCGACATGCACGAAAACCTGAAAGAGTGTGCATGGCTTCTCCACCCTGATATCTCATCTTAGCACCTATCACCCAACCTATCTTAAAGATGCATCCAAGGCTGCCAAGGATCGCAATTCCCCCCGCCTACGCATTGTTGACGAAGAGACGCGTACCATTTTCTGATGGACCGTCTGCCTTTGAGTTTCGTCAAGCGAAAGATGACGAGAAAAAAATATATACCTTCTACCATCAGCGAGAAGACGGTGAAGTTGCATTTGATGCGCATCTTTAAGTCTTCCGAGGGTAGAGTAGCTGAGGAACTTCAGCCCTCGTTTGACATTATGCTCGATGGATGTACCTTCAACGGTCGCCACTTTATCGCGATATTCGCCGTGTACAATTATCCTGGGAGGTGCATGGGAGCCCGTCCCAGTGCGACTCAGAGTACTACGACGATACCTATTGATTCACTCGTCGTTTCCTACATCTGTCCTTCTGCACCTCTCAACCAAGCCTCGGACGAACACAGTGGGAGCACTGCCGCCATAACGAACATGGACTATTAAAAACAACCGAGATCCTGCCTTCAGCTTCCACCATGGTCCAGACACGAGCCCAGACTGCCGCTGCTGCGGTGGCTACAGCATACATGAGCGAGGTGCCAGATGCTGAACTGCGATCGTAGCGCATGTGGAGAGAGCTAGCACCGCTCCATTGGCTATAGCCAATGTACCAAGTGTTGTTGATCACTTGGCAAATTTTGCGTAGCAATTCCTTGCCCAGACCCAGGCTCTTGCTGCTGAGCACGTAGCCCTACAGCAGCAGAGCCAAGTACTTGATCACGCCCACAATGTGGCCTTGATGGCTATGCAGGCCTCGACACAGTCCAGTGTCAGGCAGCTCACTGATCGACAGCGTGCTATTGTCGAAGAACTAGGCGAAGCGCTGACAGCAACTCAATCCCGTCTTCAAGACCAACTTCAGCATCTGCAAATGCTCCAAGATGAGCATGGTGGACAGATTGAGCGATTTGTGAGCGACAGTCTCGCTCATGCACTGGAAGAAGCACAGCGCAAAGCACAGATAGCAGCTTCGGCTCATTTGGAAGGAGTTCGACAGAAGCTGCTGGAGATGGAGGCAAAAATTGACGGTGGCTTGGAGAACATATCACAGCACGTTCAACAACTTGTCGAAGACTCACTTGCAGCTTCTCAACTACAGGTTGATTCATGTGAGGAGCCAACGCGCGCTGTACTGCTACGCGTATCAAGACCTCATTAAAAGAATCACTGGAACTGAATCTTTAGAGAGCGTGTGGCGCTGTACGACAAGATTTGCTAACACGAGTCAGCTGCGCTGAAGAGCCTCTCCCCGAGTCAATTCGCAGTCTTGTCTTGGATATCACGACCAATGCAGAGCGTCTCGTAGAGGGCAGGGTGCTGAAGCCTCTGACAAACGCTCAGCCAGAATTGAACCTGCATGTTCAGCGTCAAGCTAACCCAACGACGCCACTGCGCGAGCAAATTCGTAAACTTTATGTCCAGGTCAAACGACAAGCTCAGAAAAGCGATAGTGCCACCCTAGAGACTACAGTTGCCGATCAGGTCCGACACGAAGTGGAAGAGCGCTTCCGCGGGGTACAAATAAATGCGCAACGCGAATCTGATGCCAATATTAAGTTTCGACAGGAGGTGCAGACCCAGATACGAGATTATCACAGTAGTATTAATCGCAGTGTTCAGGCAGCTGTTGGGAAAAAGATGCAAGGCTATCAGAGACGAAGTACGCGTTGGGACGCAGGAAACAGAAGAACTGATAAGGGACGGATTAAGACCAAACAGATCTACGGAAGTGACGAACTTAACGACGGTGAAGATGAAGATGAACCAGCCGCTGACAAAGATCCTGCACGAGAGAACAGGATGCAAGAAACTAGGGGAAGATCGTATTTGTCAACAACGTCTATTATCTTGTTAAATTCACCCGTCACGAACACCACCAGCGTGTTCTGTGCTCTGAACGATGAGAAAGCGTTACCGTTGCTGGTGGAGAGAAGCTCACTGAACTTGACGGAGAAAGAGACAAAGGATGCAGAGGTGGAAATCCCACTGCTGCGCCAACATCTTTGCCAGGCGTCTCCGACCTCAGTGTCGCAGCAAAGAACTCAACCCCAACATCTTCGACGCCGCTCGCAGCATCCTTCACAGACTCGTACCCAACGTGTTGATCTCCGAGTGGTGATGTCCGAGATCCAGCTTCAAGTACAGGAGAGAGCTGAGCAGGCTGCCCAACGGTACCTGCTAAAGCAATATCGTGCAGGTTGAAGCTATTATTAATACGGACAAAGCTAGGAGACACAGAGTATGTAGGCTAAAAGCTTCGGAAGCAAAAGACAAGATCAACAAATCGAGAACAGCACTTTCAACACACAGTATACTTTTATAACCCAGATTTCTCCTCTTCCTCTGTTCCCTTAACTAATGTTGGGCTGCTAACAAAATTTGCTAAAATGCCGCTCGTTAGGTCGTCCATCTCGTATTCCATGTCAGGGTCCAACGGAAAGACAAAGACGGATGGTGTGTGTAAGCGATGCTGCCCCTTAGGAATTCCTCACATTGTAGTTGTAATGGGCTTGCTACGTGCCCACTACTTCGGCTTACACGTTAGCGCACGTGTATGAGAAAGCGTAGTTTACTTTAACTTAGATTAACTATACTTACGTCTGGTAAGTATAGATTTACTTAAATAAGAAAAGCAAAAACCGATTTACCGTAAAATTGCGAACTGTTATTTATGTTTATGTTTTGGGTTTGGGTTTCCTCCTAAAGTGATATTCTAAATGAAAGGTATTTGCCAACGAGTGGTTGGCAGAATCGTGCTAAGCTAATTGGTTGAAAGAGGTCGCCTTTCAACCAATAGGAAGTCTAAATACACACATCCAGTGGTCTGTCAAATGTAACCATTGGTGTATCTCACACCAATGTGAAACCCATTGTCGTAATCAAGTGGCTACATCTAGCCACTTGCGTGTAACCCAGTTACACCATCCCCCCGTTAAGATAAGACATATTGTCCGTTTCTATCAATTTGTCCGTCTATTAGAGAAGCTTAAACTGAGACTAAGACAGGTTTAGGGCTATCTTCTTCTACGGTTGGTTTCCGTTAATCAAACCAGTCCCCATCACTCTAAAGCGAAAAATTCTCACTCAAGTCACAAGTCATTAAGGAATTCTTTTACAAGCTGCGGATCATTATCTGGTTGACGGCCTGCCGAGTAGTGCACTCGTGCACGCGACGACGTTGACCTCGTGCGGATGGTAGGCTGACGACGGCTGGTGTTCTTCGTTTCGACCATGCGTGTTTTCGTAAAACGCTCCTACATATAAAAAAAAGTTAGATAAATAATATTTTTAGGAAATGAAAAACAATAAAATATTATATTCTTACCGCCCGTCTTTTGATATTTCGTCCACGAAGACGAGTTGTTCCGGACCACGATAAAAAGGTAATAACCTTCCTGCATATTCTTGACGCTCACGAGGCGCTGACTCTCTGGCCCGTTTTGTTAGCTTTTTTCTTGTGAGGTCCAGATCGAAGCGTTAAGCACGGCATATTGAGGCTGTGGAAGTGTTTTTGATATTGCCAAATTGGCGCCGCAGTTCGTCTTGCAGTTCTTCAATATAAAAACAAGGATGCTCTTTTACGTATTTTTCAACAAAAATAATGACCTGACGTGGCCACTTGCTGCTGCGCTCTCGCCCTTTACTTTTTCTGCACGGGGATCCCGCCTTCTCGAACCTTGTGATCCAGCAGCGAACACTGCGTTCGTGGCTACCGAAAATCGTTCCAACCATAGATGCGTCCATGCCGTAAATGTAAACGAGGACAATAGCTCGCCAGCGCAAGTCCCCTGCGTAAGTCATTGTTTAGCAGATAATCTCCGAATGGCCAACAAATTCGTGGCATTCGGAGGAAGTGCGCTTAACACTGAGCATAAGGGCAAGCACAGGTCGCTGCTGATTGGATCGGCTAATCAAGATGTGTCTTAATCGTTGGCGCAGCTCTCTTAATCTGAGCTCGTGTACCTAGCCCTAGTGTGTCTTGAGCACGTTACACTGAGTGTAAGAGCTCGTTTTGGACAATCCATCTGAAACGGACAATACTAGTCTGAACACGTCACTCAAATATTGACAAGACTGTCAAATCTCAGGGAGAACCCGAGCTCACTTCACGATGAGCTCGCCAAAGATGATTCCAGCATAAGTGTCTGCACCTGCAGACACTGTCGCGTCCGCGCCTGCCTCTGCAGGCACCACCACTCCCGCGTCTATGCATGTAGACGCGCCCGCGACAGAAGAGAAACTTTCTGTCGCTAAATATCACCTTCTGCAACAGCAGAAGCGTGCCCAGGACTCAGTTGACATCCCGTCAACAATCCTGTGTGGCTCGTTGGCGTTGAACAGCGACGGCAGTATCCCGATTGTCTTTGGGTCTGACATCGAGGATGTTCCCATGGAGGAGGACGAGGCTTCCTCGTCCTCGGCTGCCGAGTCTAAGGCGGCCGAATCAACGCCCAATCCACTCACTGGATCGCCGCGAACGCGTGATGATGATCCGGACGCTTC